CTTATCAACCGCTGCCCAACGCAGCTTATCAACCGCTGCCCAACGCAGCTTATCAACCGCTGCCCAACGCAGCTTATCAACCGCTGCCCAACGCAGCTCATCCATCACTGCCCAACGCAGCTTATCAACCGCTGTCCACATTCGCACGTGCGTTCCTCGCCACGAGTTTCTATTGGCTTCCAACGCTACCCCCCTTCAGTTTAATTTGGTGTAAAATACTTCAGTTGAATTTGTAATTACATATTTATTTAAGTACTCTTCAAGTTGTAGAATCTAATTATGAGAAGGCTTCCCCTTTTGGAAACACGTTGTAAGAGTGTGTGCCGCCAGTGGGACCGCCTGGTGCAAAATAAGCACGGCTGCTAGGCTAGCACTACATAAAATGACGGATGTTGCGGGCATAAGTATGCTCAATGATTGATGTTCATGCGCATGGAATAAATTTAAAAATAATGCTAGGGGCACACCCTCAACCACACTTCCAACCACACCCCCACATTCTCTATAGTGTTAGTGGGCCATGCATGATATTTTTCTAAAAATATCATACATGGCCCACTAGCACTATAGAGAGTGTGGGGGTGTGGTTGGGAGTGTGGTTGAGGGTGTGCCCCTAGTGAGACTCTAAATTTAAAGATGTGCCGCCCAAGCGCAATAGTCTCTTCCTCGATGATGTATACAACCAAATTTCGGGGGGGTTTTTGGTAATAATACCAACTCTACATACTTTTGATAGAGCTTTGCTACAGGAATCCAAAATACGGGACCAATAAGGGGGACAAGTGAGGTATCCCCCTCCTATTGGATAATGAGTTGGTCATCATTAATGATGACCAACTCGTTATCCAATAAGAGGATGACACATCACTTGTCTTCTCCCCCTATTGGTCCTATATAATGGGTCCTTGAAGGATTTTTCCTTTTGATATCATTGAAATTGCTATTAGGTCCATGCAAGTTAAGACGTTTCGGATCAATCTCAATTACATAATAAATGATCTCATACTCCCTTAGTCCTCAAGAGAAACATGTGATATGTGATCTAAAATCACTTGCTTGCAGCCTTAAAAAATCCTAATTAATTACATAATAAATGCATCAGGAAATAACAGCCTATGACGGCGTTGACAGAGTTATTCCTAGATTTGCATAAATAAATTTTTTTTAAAAGAAAATCTTTCAAAAATCACCCGCATCGATTTAGGGAATCGTAATCCAAAAGGCAAGCAATCGTTACGCTTGCTGCCATCGAAATGCATTGACGAATCATTCAGTCTTGTACTAATTTAATTATATTATACTTATTTGCTAGGAATTAAATGATTATCATTGATCATTTCCATACGCTTGAAAGTTTAAAGACTAAATAGCACTTAAATATCCAAACTCAGTCTTTACATAATCTATACTATCTATACTATAAAAAACGTATCAAAAAGTTTGAAGGACAGTGAAAATCATATTCAAAATAGAATGGTATTTTGGTAATTTCATTAAATCTATATCTATACCATACTATAAAAAAATCAAGTGAAGGTACCAAAAAGCTTGAAGGACAATGAAAATTCATTTTCAAAATATAAAAGTATTTTGGTAATTTTATTAAATCTATATACCATTATATAAAGACCATTGTGAGGGGAGTCAAAAAAATTGAACAAAAAGAGAACGTATTATCATTCTTCCTTGTTTCTAGAATATTCCGTATCATACAACCATTTTTTTTTCTTCCATATTTCACCCATGCAATGACATGAACATAGGAAATCGGCTCATATAATTAAATATCTATTTTATTTAGATCCTCAAAGGAATACAAATCAAATTATAAGTTTCCTCAACTAAAAATAATAACATGCGTGGCAATAAAGGTCAAAAGAATGCCAAAGTATAAAAATACAAATAAGTTTGTTTCTTTTGAAATTATAAGTTTTTTGCATTAATAGCATGTATTCTATTCTGCAACGAAAAGAAATAAAACATATACAAATGATATCATGGATGACTAAATTTTTTTCTTTTTTCCTATAGGATACAAGGATAGTTTGTTCAGGTTTAAGGTTTGACATATACTTTTGACATGCAGAAATCTATTTAAAATCGTGCGACAACGCTAAAAATTGAATGAAAATTAAGATGACATATTCTCATTCTTTTTCCATATAGGATAAAAGTATAGTTTGTTCAGGTTTAAGGTCTCACGTATACTTTTTAATATACAAAAGTTTATTAAAAAAATGTTTTGCACCTCTTGCACATGTGTATGCGCATGCGACAATAATGCTAGTATATATTAATTTCTTACTAATTTGGTTCTATATGTTTATTCATTTAAAATATTTCCGAGTAGTTTAAAATCATTACCTTCTGTATCCACAATTTTTCATGGAGAAATGTGAGATATCCATGCCACATTAGAAATATAAGTTTACGATCAGATTTGTTAAACTATAAGAAAGTACATTAAATAATTATTTCACTTGAATGGAACATCGTCTATAACTGTATAAAGTAAACTATATTTGTAGCAACCAAACATTTGAAAGCAAAAATAGTTATAATGTTAAAATACACAAGTTTTATATTATTATTAACTTGCTAGTTGGATCTAAAGTTTCATTTGTCAGTTACATATATAATTGAGTATGAAACACAAATCTAAACGCAACATTTGTTATTGCAACTACCAAGCAACCCCCCAAATCCTAACTTAAATTAATACTAAGAATATTTTAGTTTTTAAGCCCAAACACGTGAAAAGAAAATTCACATGCTCCTCTTTGTTCCCTCTGAATCTTCATCACATCTTTGACTTGTGTATTTTGCATAGCAACACCACGTCATCCACATGGTGTTAGTTGTACTCTTGCTCCCAAATTCTCATAAAAAAAATTCCACTATTAAATAAAAATAACCATCTAATTAACACACTACATTTTTTCCCCCTTTAAAAGTCTATTCATGGCAAACCCCTCTTGGCCCTAAATCTCTTTTGTCGTTGATTCCAATAGTACTAGAAGGAACTTTTTTCTTTTTTTGAAAAATAATACAGGCACACCTTCAGACACACCACCAACCACACCCCCTCTCTATCTACAGTGCAGGGGGCCTCACATCAAATTTTTTTTTAAAAATATGATATGGGACCCCTGCACTGTAGATAGAGAGGGGGTGTGGTTGGTGGTGTGCCTGAGGGTGTGCCTGTAGTGCCTCCGTTTTTTTTGGGGTGGGTTGGTTAAGTATTAAAATATATATGTCAAAACATATTTATGAAGGACATAAAGCATTGGTCTCTAAAATATACGTAATAAAACATGTTTCTAAAAGATGGTATTGAATTTAATAGTAATAAAACATGTTTCTAAATATATGATATCAATACGTCTTTCTTGCTAAGGTCTTTTAGTTTAACCTAGACATCTCAAGAATCAATTTCTATTGTATGCTCTTTATCTTCTACATGTATAATTTCTTGGTCGATGTTGCTCGATCGCCTCTACTCTATCATCGTTATTGTTGCTGATTATCCTTAGTGCGCGATCAGCATAGCGTCTAACGGTGTTACTGTAAGATATTATTTATTAATAATTAATCCCATATTATGGAAGAGTTTTTATGAACAATTGGTCGGATAGGGATTTGATTGTTAAATTAAAATTATTAATTTGATTAATAATTGGTTCTCGATATGGGACCCAATTGGTCTCACTAATGTCATTAGAAGAGGTATACATGCAATGCAATTCTATTTCTATCCTTAATTGTTATGGATAAAGTTTTTGAATAAATCTATTTCTATCATTAATTGTTATGGATAAAGTTTTTGAACAGATCTATTCTATCTTTAATTGTTATGGATAGAGTTCTAGATAATTATGAATTGTTTAAAGTTAAAATCTCTAAGACTAGTGTAATCCTATAAATAGGGTTCATATGTAGCCTTATGAGATGTTAAGAGAAGAGATTCAAAATCTTATGAAGATAATATGAAGAAATAGATTTTTGAGAACCTATCTCTCAGTATTGCTCCTCTACGGTGACGGGTGGATTTCAATTGGAGGCTTTTTCTCTTGAGGAAGCTATTTCGGATTGATCCCGAGACAGATTGTTGTAGAAATTCGGAAAGCGTTTCAGGTATTTTTCTAATATTTAATTAATTTTGATTAATAGTCATGATATGCTTTTTCCGCTGCGTTGTATGTCATGATTCCAACAGTTACAGAATTATTTGAAATTTTTTCGTGTGGCTTAATCCTATAGATCTTGTCATGTGATATCAATTAGTGGGGTCCTATAGTTCTAATAGGAATAATTCATGATCCACTATTCATTGTTGTTGGTGTTGACAATGACTATGGTTGGACTGATACTGCTATTAAAGGGAGGGTGACAAAAAGTGTTAACTCGGATAGAGTTAGATTTATTAGATTTGATAGAAGTTATTAGAGCATCTCCAACAGCTTCCTCATCTTCTTGAAATACTCAAATTTGGAGAATATAGAGCTTTTTTTTGGTCCAACAGATTCCCCATCTCATTCCCCAAAATAGGGAAGGAGGAGAAAAAATAGGGAGTCTTCCCCAAATCTGCAGCATTCTCCAAATTTTTTGGGGAGAGTTTTATTATTGTAATAAATGTGATTTTTCAAAATGGGGAAGCTGTTGGAGTTGGAGCAAAAATAATTTGGAGAATATGACTTTTGTTTCTCCATTTTGGAGAAAATTTTGGGGAACCTGTTGGAGATGCTCTTAACATGAATCTATCTGATGTAAAAAAGAAAAATTGAGAGATTTTTGTTATAATAAATACTATCTTAAAATGAGACCTATTTCAGTTATGTGTTTTGAGGTCAACACTCAAAAAAAAAAAAGAATAATCAAAGAAAGGGCTTAAGAGTTAAAGAAGCCAAAACCTCTTCCTCTTTTTTTAATTAAAAAAAGTTGGGTTTTATTATTTTGTGATTTTAATTTTGTTTTAAGGAAGCCATTGGGTTCTCCTCCCCAAACATTGAGTCCTTTGTCTCTTTTTAAGACAGATGTATTATGGCTGTGGGTGTCAATGGTCCCCTCTAACCCCTTCAACTAAATAATTACCAAAAAAAAAAAAAAAAAAAAAACTAAAACTGAAGACAGAATAGAAACTGCCCTCTTCGGGATTTACTCCCTCCTCTTCATTTTTCTTTCTTTTTTTTTTTGGTGAAAATGGGTCAGAGATTTGGTGGGGATTCTGTGATCTGGGTTCTTGTTCCTGTTGGGTTTGGTGGCCTCTAGACGGTTCAAGATTGTATTTTTCTTGTTATTCCCGGGATTTAGTTAGGCTGTTTTTTTTATATATATATATAGAATTTTGGCATCAAAATTGAATTTTTATGAGAGGGTTTTGGTGGGTTTTGGGGGATGTGCAGCCTTGTGTGGCTTCTGAGGTTCATTTGGCTGATTTTTCAGCAAGCTTTTGATCTTTGAGTCGAAAGCTGGTCTGGGTTTGTCTTAAATTTTGGAGATTGGCTCAGGATTTTCAGTGTTTTTGGCTTCTAGGGTTCTTCTTTCTCTGAGGGCCTCTCTGTTGTAAACCCCCCCTTGGTCTGCATGAAGCTGGGATCGAAAGCCGATGCCTTTCAGCGGCAAGGGCAGGCTTGGTAAGCGATATTTTCAATCTTGTAGCACCAATTGCTGCGTTTTTTTTTTCTGAATTCTTGTGAAATGCTGCTCTTAAATGGCTTTTTGTTATGCTCTTAGATAGTAGCATGTTTCTACTTTCTAAGGATGGATGGGCCTGATTCTCTTTTAAATGAAAATTTTTATTATTTTCTGCCGGGCAAAATTAAGTGATGCTAATTCAGTGGTTGGGTATAAATATGCTGTGTAAGAGCCAAATTATGTTCCTTGAATATGATCTTGTAGCCCGTATAGTGGCGTCTTGAAAGGCACGCAGCAGAACAGATTAGTTGAGAGAACCAAAAATAATGCAAAAAGTTTTATTTTATATATTTGCGAGGGTGGATGAAAATTTTAACACACGTTCATGCTCACAGGTGTTTAGTCAACAATTTATAGATGTCTCTGTAACTACTTTTTTTTTAGCTTGATTGAAATTGCGTGAGCGGACTTCATCTCAGAGGCAGCACCTGCTTCAGTACAATAGAGCACAGATAGTAGTAGTACATCCAAAATCAGTATCCCCCAGCCCTTTTTTCAACCCTCATTTCTATATATCGTTATCAGATTCATGCTCACTCTTGTTCCTTTCTTACGCCCAAGATCGAAGAGTCCAGGGTCCGTACTTGTCATAGTGAATGTCCTTAAGCCAGAAATGCTACACCATTAGTGGTTTATGTGATTAAATGTTTACAGTCACATAAGCATCTTATGCTGCTAATCTAGATGATATTCATATTTCATTTAACCTTCATTTACGGACTAAGGGGGTGTTTTGGATATCCTGTTATGTTTTAGCCATCATGTTGAAAATCCTGGAGAAACTGTGCCAAAAAACTTTTTCGTCCATTTGTCATTAAACATTTATAGATCTGATTCTCTTCTTTCTGTACTATCCTCTCTGCTCTTTCCTTAGTAGTTTGCATTTTCATGCAGCTAAACTGAGAATATCAAATGACTGGAAAAGAATGCAAAGGTCCAGGGAAATTAGGCCACTTGCTGAAAAAGCAGCTTACTTTTCTTATATACTGTGTACTATTTAAAAATGTCAGAATGTCTTGTGACGAGTGTGTTCTAGCTATAAAGATGGCTTGCTAATAAGCTATCCTCTCTATCCTTGTTACCAGCATGTGTTCACAATGAATTCTCTATCTGCCATGTTGCTTTTCGCGGTTTCTGCACTTTGTTAATTTTTAAGAACATAATACATTGCAATCTTCTCTAATGGCAATGTGTTTCGTTTCCTATTCTGTATGTGAGCTAAAATATGCTTTGATACAACCAGATACTGCACATTCTATTACATCACAAGGCATGTATTATTTTGGTAATTCTCTTAGGGGGGGTTAGTCACCTAGAACTTTTTAAGTAGAACTGGGATAATTAGTAAAATGGGATAATTTTTTGACACTGGGATAATTTAGTGGAACAATGATGTGTAATTCTTAAAATGTGATAATTTGGTAGGATAATTTGGTGGGATAATGATGGATAATATTATGAAGTTGCATAATTTGGTAGGATAATTTGGTGGGGGTAATGGTGGGTATAAAATACTATTGTTAATAATTATATATTAAAAATAATATAATATTGATAAGCAAATTCTAGTAATAACTATAAAATATAATGCAATAAAGCATCACTATTCATCTCAAATAATAAAATAATTTACAAAATAAATAAAAATCTAAATCCCTGGAGTGACTCGACTTCCATCATCCCACATGGCTTCTATCATCCCACATGGCATCTGCCATAGAATTTCTCCAAGCTCCTACAGTTGCTCGTTGAGTCTGTAACTTGTCTTCTTTATTGGAGTCATCGTCTGCATCAGCAATATTTCGTGGAGCTTCTAGTGGAGGATCATAAATGTCGAAGTTCAAATCTCATAACATCATAAAGAAAGAAAAATAAGCATTTTTCAGCCATTAACCCTTTGGACCAATCTCATCATGATCGCTGAAACCAAATCAGCAAATAAATGAAATGTACACAGGAATCATCCATGGCCGCTAAACAGATGATCGACAGATGAACTATAAATATCCCAATCAATTTACTGAGCCGATTTAATAATAATAGATATCACCATTAACCATTCAACATCTAATCATCAATGTGATCGCAAAGTTGCTTTCTAACTTATAGAAAAAACATAAATAGCCCGCATATCTTTAGCACTAACCCACCAACACTATATTCTTAACCTAAACCACTGTTGTGGAGAGAAAACTTAGATCAAACAAATAATAATAAAGTAATTTAACGTCAAAAAGCTATCAATAAAGTAATACATCTTGAAGATAATAATAAAAGATCTAATCATCACAAAAACAAAGTAAAGACAGAAAAATGAACGGATGATTGACTTCATGGCAGAGAAATTTTCTAGGCGGAGAAACTAACCAAGAGGGAGGGAGGCGACGTTTCACTTTTTTTCCCAATTGTATTCTTTCCAATTGAGAGAGGAGAACTTATGGTTATATATATAGGTAGTATAATTTGTGGGATAATTATGACCAATTATCCCAATTCTAATTCTACTAGAATTCTACTTGACTAACGCACCAAAAAAATAATACAGTTCTAGTTCTACAAAAGTTCTACTTGACTAACACTATAAAAAAAGCTGAATTTGTCTAATAGTAAAGGAAGTTTAGTTAAATCGAATATAAATCATTGGACCTGCATCACTGCTTCAGCAATTGTGCTGCTTGTTAACAAGTGGACTTCAAAGTGCATTAACACTCATATGGTGGAAGTTAAGTGACGCTGTCATTATCTGAGCTGATCTGGAAGTAATTTTCCAAAAATTAAAGATCCAAATCACTAACCCCTCTGTGAGAGCCAAAAGGTTTCCTCTTTTATATGCTATCTTGTAGCTTGAATATGACGGCATACTCAGATTCTGAATGACAGTGTTGAATACCAAAATATTAATGAAGATTTTCTTTAGGTAGGATGATAGAAATATTCAGGTAATTATAAAATTCTCTGTGATGTTTTGAGCCCATAAACTGCTATGATTGTCTGATAAACTAATTTCGCTGAATATTTGTGCTACGACATTTACACACATAGCAACATTTAAAGTGTTCTTCTGTATCAGTTGATTTTGCTGCCAAACCATCTTATAAAGCCACTTAACAATTATACATAGAGCTGCATTTATGTGGAAGGGGATAGCTTGTGCAAGATTAAGTATATAAACTATGCCTGTCTTTTGCTTCACCTCGTGATCCAATCATATTATGTCAAAATAACGAAGTTCTCCTCAGTTGCTAGTTTCTTTGTGAGTTTTTTTAATAACACCATACTGAATTTCGCAGTTATTTACATATTTACGTATGTTAACTACAGGTTTTGCACAACCGGTCTCCCAAGTGATATCACTGTTGAAGTTGGAGACATGTCCTTCCATCTCCACAAGGTAAAGTTCCCTTCTTAAAACCTAAGATGGGCCTTTTTGTAATACTTGGTTTCATGACTTCATGTTCTTTTTACATTTTTTTTTCTGCACAGTTCCCTCTTCTATCCAAGAGCGGCGTATTAGAAAAACTGATCAAAGAGAAATCAAAAGATGAAGAAGAGGAGGGTTGTATCATAACTCTATCTGATATTCCCGGAGGTCCAAAGTCCTTTGAACTCGTCGCTAGGTTCTGCTATGGCGTGAAGCTCGAGCTAACTGCTTCAAATGTAGTGTACCTACGTTGTGCTGCCGAACATCTCCAGATGACTGAAGAAATCGCAGAAGGAAACCTAGTTTCCCTAACCGAGAATTTCCTCAACCAAGTAGTCCTCCGTAGCTGGAAAGATTCACTAAAATCACTTCAAACATGTGATGAGCTCCTTCCTTATGCTGACGACCTCCACATAGTGAAGCGGTGCATCGAGTCTTTAGCAGTCAAAGCTTGCACCGATCCAAACCTCTTTGGTTGGCCCATGATGGAGCGTGGGTCTATTCAAAGCCCGGGTGGGAGTGTTTTATGGAATGGAATTAGCACGGGAGCTAGGCCAAGGAGTTTTAGCTCAGATTGGTGGTATGAAGATGTCTCATCTCTTAGCTTTCCTCTATATAAAAGATTGATCTCTGTCATGGAATGTCGAGGTATTAGCCAAGAGACTATCGCTGGCTCGTTATCGTTTTATGCAAAGCGATATCTTCCGGGTCTCAACAAACGGCGCCCGGCTCCAATGGCTTTGGCAGCGGCCCCCACCGAAGAAGAGCAGAGAGATCTTCTTGAAGAGATTTGTAAGCTATTACCTCTTGAAAAAGGCGTGGTCTCGACTAAATTCTTGTTCGGGCTTCTTCGTATCGCTATGATCTTAAAAGCTAACGATTCTTGCTTGTCTAATTTGGAGGAGAGGATAGGGATTCAACTTGATCAGGCTAATTTAGAGGATTTATTGATGCCCACATTTTCGAACTCAATGGAGACCCTATACAATGTTGATTGTGTTCAAAGAATCCTTGAGCGCTTCTTGGCTATGGATCAGGCGACAGGTGGGGCTTCACCTTGTTTGGTTGAAGATGAACAGATGATGGCATCGCCGTCTTTGACGCCGCTGACTACTGTTGCCAAGCTTATTGATGGATATCTTGCTGAGGTTGCTTCGGATGTTAATCTTAAGTTGTCAAAGTTTCAGGCCCTGGCTGCTGCGGTTCCTGATTATGCTCGACCACTGGATGATGGACTGTATCGTGCAATCGATATATATTTGAAGGTAATGATTTGATAGCCAATAGTTACAAAATCCTTTATTCACACCATATAAGAAATTTCCATTTACATGAAAACGTTCCCAAAAAGATTAATATTATGAAATGCAGCTAAATCATGGGAAACTATTCTGTTAAAAAGAACATGCATATGTGTGTGCATGTTGTGAACATCTAAGTTGAGAAGGCTCTACAAAGATTAAGCAAATTTCTTGTTTGTTATACACTATGTAGCACGGACACGGATCCAACACGGCCATCCGACACGCCGACACGAGGCAAATCCTAAAAAATACATAGGATACGTGTGTTCGACACGTGTGTCTGACACAGACACGACACGACACGGCTTCATGTTATGCGTGTCCGTGCTTCATAGGTTATACACTAGGTTACCCGGATACTTCATCTAGGCTCCCTTGTCCATGTCCATGTCCATGTCCGTGTTCGACACTCCTTAGGCACGTCTTGAATATATGCATACATTTGTAGACGTATACTGACATGCTTTAGTTCAAAATACTTGTGATACACTTTTGAATGTATGTCGTATACTTCGCCTCAAATTATGCAATTAATTGGACTCGGGACAGGTTTGTTTTAGCACATACTAGTTCATAAGTATGACTCTAAAGGGTCGTTTGAGTATCTAGTTAAAAATGAGTAGTTTTTCAATTTATAATCTACTTGATAAAAGAAACGTAAATTAAGGATTTTAGTTTTCATAACATGTAAATGAACAACAATATTGGGCTCATGTAGATTATTAATTTTAATATGTATGTACATAGTCATGTCCCCGTATCCTAAATTTTACAATTTTTCCGTGTCTCATATCCGCATTCGTGTCCGCACCCGCACCCGTATCCGTGTAACACAGGTAGCCTGATGTTAATACTGGGAGTAGGTGAAATCTATCAAATTATATACTATGTATACAGAATCATTTTCATCTAGGAAAGGTTTAACATACATGATGGAAGAGAGCACCATAAAATTAATATGTACATTAATAAGCTATAACTTATTGAAGTGCCAATTTTTAATGAGATTAATGAATATTATTGACATGCGGTGGATGAATCTCAGTCAAGTGTTTACCTCTTTATTCTCTTGGCTGATGGTGCTGAGATTCAGTGACATCATTGTATTTTCAGAATCCTCTCAGATGTCGCGTGATACTCATTATTCTCAATGTTAATGCACCTAAAAGTACTCTATAATCGATACGCTTTCCTTTTTTTACTTCAAATATAAACCGATATGCTTTCCTTTTTTTACTTTAAACAGGCACACCCGTGGCTATCAGAATCCGAGAGAGAACAGCTCTGCCGACTTATGGACTGCCAAAAGCTCTCTCTCGAGGCCTGCACCCACGCCGCTCAAAACGAGAGGCTCCCTCTCAGAATCATAGTCCAAGTCCTTTTCTTTGAACAGCTCCAACTCCGAACCTCCATTGCGGGATGCTTCCTAATGTCTGAAAACCTCGATGGCTCCAGACACTTAAGAAGTGGCGTCATAAACCCTAACCCTAGCGATGGAGGTGGAGGGTGGGCCACCGCTGTCAGAGAGAATCAAGTATTAAAGGTTGGAATGGATAATATGAGGATCAGGGTTTCTGAGCTCGAGAAGGAGTGCTCAGATATGAAGCAGGAGATTGAGAAGTTGGGTAAGGGTAAAATTGGTGGCGGGTGGAGTAATATATCGAAGAAGTTTGGTTTCAAGATCAAGTCTCAGATGTGCACTGCACAAGAGGGCGAGGTTAGCGAAAATCAACGGAATGAGAGTGGGAAGATGGAGAAGCTTGTGCAATCAAAGCTCACGAAACATAGGAAGAACCTATCGATAAGCGAGTAAAAATTCTATCCCCCTTTTGAAAAAATCATAAGTTTTCTGCTTGGAGAGTGCTAATTGTACTACATCAGATCAGTATGGTATTTGTAGTACAATGAGCATTTTGCCTTCTTGGTTCGCTTTTTCCCTTCTTCTGACAACCCAAGCTGTGAATTATCACTACCTTGTAGATTTTCTTGAAGATTGATGTTCGAAGTGAAATGGGCATGAGTAGCTGATTTTCTGTGTAACTGTATGCTAATTAACTGTGTGAACAAAATGTCTTGTATTTTGTCTGTTGATTTGTAGGTACATTGTTTTGCAACTGTTTGTAGATTGGCCTCAGATAATGTACACCTAGATCTTCATCATCTTTGTTGCAGTGACAGTTTTCTTTAGTTTTGGGCGTGTGCGCGCTTTAATGACCTTTACCAATACTTACATTAATTTAATCATGGTCCTATATTCTTTTGTAGGTACATTGTTTTGTATGTAATAGGAACTTTTTTTTCTTCTTCTTCTTCTTCTTCTTTTTTTTTGGGTTGGGGGGGG